CTCCCAGCTTCTTGTGCACCTCCTCGCTGGCAGAGTAGGGGAAGCTGGAAAGTCCTTGACTTAGTATAAACACTGCTTAGCAACAACTAAAACATCAGTGTTTTATCCCATTATTCTCATGCTAAATTGAAAACACAGCACTATACCAGCTGCTAGGAAGAAAATTAACTTTATCCCAGCCGAAACCAGGAAAGCATGTCAGACAAGTGTAACGTCTCTGTGAAGGCATTTGGGTTAAGCATGTTTGTCCTCATGCTGTTAGAGAAGATTTGTGTGTGTCTCTGCTTAAAGCTGAGGTAAATGTGTATGCACAGGACTGCAGTGAGTTCTGTCGGCCTGCCCAAAGCTACAGGTGGAGAGCAGAAATACCTTGCTGTGTGAGGATGAATACCAGGGCACAGTGCTGTGGCAGGGATCCCTACCATTCTGTGTAGTCCTCTTCCCTGCACCTCCCGGAGCACTTGTAGATAGGAAAAAGGGGAGTTTATAAGTAACCTTCTCATACTGGGTGGATTAGTTTGTACACTTCTATCTTACTGCCATTTTTGTCGAATCTCTCTTCCTACTGACCATTAAGTTCTTGCCTTGTCTAGTTTCCCTGGAAGTTTATTCTACTCTTGGATCGCCTGCAGACCAGAAGAGTCAGTCTCTTGTAAGTTTGACACTGATAACTGCTTTGATCTTTTCCAGATGCCATGGGGTTGGGACTACTCTCGATCATCCAACTTAACTGAACTGAAAATTTTGCTGGAAGAGTCCATCATGGTCCGACGTCTGAAATCAGATGTGCTTTCCCAGCTTCCAGCAAAGCAACGCAAAATGGTTGTGGTGGCTCCTGAAGGCATTAGCGCAAAGACTAAAGCTGTCTTGGCAGCTGAAGCAAAGAAGATGGCTAAAGGATATGAAAGTGTAAGTCAGAAACTATTTTCATGATGAGCCATTGATATTTCAGGTACCTTTATTTAAAAACATCAGTGGTAAAACAGTACCCTGAGTTCCAAGGAAGGTCAGAGCCGCACCTCATGTGAAGGTGCAGTGGAAGGTTGTTGAAAGCACAGTTTTAAATGAATGTACAACACAATCAAAATAGCTCAGCTTTTTTTCCTTTTGATTTATGTATTCTACTTTGTCCCCTTGTGTGAAATACCATTTCTTCTCTCTTCTTTCCTCTCTCAGTCCTTTCTAATTGTCTTTCGTACCTCCTGCCTCTGTACTTACTCTTCTCTCTTGCCTTGTAATCCCATTCACCCTACAAACACAGCCTTGTTGAAGCTGTGTTGTGAACACAGCAGTAGCCAAAAACGTGAAGAGTGTATTTTTGCTTTTTTTGTTTGTTTTTCTTGTATGGATAGCAAATGCATATTCTAGGTTCCTAGGTTGCTAATACAGTTCTGTAAGAACTTAGGAATTTTTCCTTGCCATTTTAGTTGGGAAATGCTTTCTCAACTAAAGCTACGTTTGTGATATGCTTGTCAACCAACTTGTAGGAGTTGAGTAGGAGGTAGGAAGGGAGGTGTCAGAAATAGGAGTGTATTTGCCATGCCCAGTGGCGAGTGGGAGACTTCCTCCTCCAGTCCCCTTTTATTGTGCGTTTTTAGGCTGATTTTTTCCTAGCAAAGTGTTCATTGGCAACCTCAGACATCCCAGATCTGTAAGCAAGAAGGAAAAAAGGCATTTCTGAGACTTACATTTATTTATCTTTTTCTCTGCAGAAACAACAAGAGAAGGAAGCTCTTCTCCTCTTCTACAGCAGAACGGCAGAAGCTAAAATCCGCTCAGTCATGTAAGCTGCATGTCATTGCTTCAGTCTTGCCTAGTAAAATGTGTTTTTCTGCTGAGAACAGGAAAACGGTGCCTTAGAGATAACAGTGCAGGGACATGAAGCATAGCCTCAAGCCAGCTTAGAAAAAAATTGATTTTAATTACAATGCACTAAACATTTTCTTCTCTCGGAGTTCCTAGGCTGAGTAAGTCTTCTGATTTCATTCCAGATACGGATCTAAACTGTCATTTGAACCATCTAAAATTATTTGGTGTTTGGGACTTGGATCAAGTTCCCTGGTCTGGACTGCATTTCAGTTTAAGGAGGGGGGGAGTAATGAAACTAAAAGTATCCACAGAATTTGAGAAAACAAACGCTGCAGTCCTGCTGCAGCAGGAACCCTGCGCCAAAAAGTTTGAGATGGACTGAACTTTAGTTGTACCATGCTCTAAGGATGTCACAGCCCCTACTGAAGTTCTTGGCTCTTCCACAGAACTCACATGGGACCTCAGTAGCAAAAGTTTTCTATCATAGGTGTGCTTTTAACTCTATCTTCCCTAGGAATAATTTCCTTCTGTGACCTTCCGTGCCCTTTCATCCTTAGCCTTTTGCTGGGACTACAAAGGAGTTGCTTTAGGTCATATAGCATGACTTTTTAATAAGTAGTATGCTAATAACATGAAAACAGTTTACTTTTCCACAGTCCTCTGAATGTAAGGACCAGCTGGTATGCGCCGTGTGATTTCACAGTCTCGGACCTTGCTGCAGAATCTGCTTGTTCGGCACAGACGTGCACTTCAGAGTCCCAGTGCTCATTTCTGTAGAAGAGTTTCTTCCTTTTATGTTAGCGAACAGTTAGAAGACTTTCTTCTTTTTATATTCATTTGTAAGTGTGAACTGAATATAAAACCATGAAGTGCTGTTTACTTAACTCTCTGGTAGGAACTAGTCCATTTTTTTCCTGGGGTTTAGTAGCATTTAAAATACCACTTTTTATAAGCTGCTAATGTACATTACCATCTAGCTAATGGTACTGTCCTATGATCATGAGCACCTCCCACGTCTTACCCTTGATGACAGTGTCTTCCACTGCTTCCATTGAAATGACTGGCCATTTGTTAAATGCAATATGCATCAGCTTGCTACACTGAATGTTCACTTTGATATTTAAAATCCAGCAATCCCACTTCTCTCCCAGATTTCTTTGTTAAATGTTATTGTCACATAATTGGGATCTGGACATCACAGAACCCTGGAAGCTCTCTGCCAAGCACTGATACATCTTAATATAGCGCTGGAAGTCCTGCTTGGTGTTTTCTGACAGTTGCTGCTGACCTAAGCTGTGTTGTATTTAGCAAAGAACTTGGTATTCCTGATCTTCGCAACAACTTTGTTATTCCGGAGAACAGATGACATTTGTATCATCTGTTCTGATAGCTGTTGCTATACTTAGCTACAAATTTTAGGCTTTTAGGTGTTTTTCAGGCTCCAGTTGACCTGATTGTATCACAAGTTACTACATAGAAAGGGGTTCTGTAGCTCAGCTATTAGTCCATGGCAAAAGCCAGGTGTTTTCATTTAGTTAACACTGTTTAACTGTGTTTAAAAGGAGTCTTGTTACCTTTTCATTGGTCATTAGCCTATATGCATATGGATAATTCCTAGAAACATCTGATATATTTACATTGTTAAGCTGTAGTAAATTGTCAGTGTGAACCCTTGCAAGCAAAGCTACTTTTAGGATACTCTGATGCATGCGTTCAGAGACCTTTTCTTCTAAAATAAAAACAGTCCTAAGTATACATAGAAAGGATAATTGTATACAGATTAGCTTAGTGTATTGTGATTGTGCAAAAGTTAGAAATACAGAAGGGTGAATGAGATTGTCAAATAAGTATAGATGACCTCCAGTTGATTGGGCTAGGATGTTGTGTTTCAAGTAGGATATAATAAATCGATTGATACACAAGTATAAATGTAGGCAGCTGTCCAGCTGTGGTGGAGAAAAATGAGTGGATTTTCCTGCAATGTCTTTTTTAATCTGTAGGAGGCTTGACTGGCTAGTTGCATTTTACAGCAACTTTTTTAAGCTATCTTATTTCCTAGTTTGTGTGTATAGATGAGCAGTATCTTTAAAATTTGTTGTGAGCAAAGCCTGTATTCTCTCAGCATAATTTATAGAGTTTTGGGGTTTTTTTTTCCTCTTTCATGTAGAGAATACATCCTGGAGTTACTGGAAAGTGGGAATGATAAATTCCTGGTGTTTGCTCATCACAAGATAGTGCTGGATGCAATAGTTGCAGAGCTGGAGAAGAAAGTAAGTATTTGACTGAGTTGTCTTAACTTTATCACTATTTCAGCTGCAAAGCTGTTTAAGAGCTCCCCAGAGTTATGGCCGGTCAGATAGTTTATGAAGGTTAGTGGCAGAGATAGTTTCTACTTGCTGTGCTTCTGAATGTGCCCTTCACCAAGGGAGCTGAGCTGTCAGGGTGAATGCCTCACAGGATGCACTTCGTATTAGCTGAATGGCTTTTGTTGTATATAATGTTCTTGAATCTCCATTGTCTGCCCTGAAGCTTGTGGATTCTTGGAGGGGTGTTACCCTGTGTGACCATCTCTGCTTTGTCCTCCAGGCTTTCCTGAGAGAGGGAGAATGTAACAACCCAAGTCCAGCTGTGGCTGCCTTCCTTTATCTCTGTGATGCTCTTACATTTTTGAACTGGGATACTGTAGGGAGACTTGGTAGACATGCCAGTCATCTCTCTGACTTCAAAAGTGTTTTGGCTAATTATTCATGAGAGACTTCCATGGAAGCCCCTAAAGAGTTCTGGGTCATGCTGGGGCAGTGTGAAGGATGGTTTAAGTTAATATTCCAAACTATAAACCACAGTGGCAGTGATGACTTTGCTGCCTCTGTGGCAGCATCCTCCAGGAGAACAAGGAGGTTAGACACTGAAGAGCTATGGCCCTGCATCACCTAAGTTTGTCATGCCTCTCCTGAGCCTACCACAGAGCAACTGAGATGTGTAGGATCCCATCTTCTCCCATCACAAACAGGGGAAGACTTAGGGAGGTTGGTGAGGTAGTAACAGCTGTAACATCAGCACACAGACAGTGTTCAGCTTTGTATTAAGCCAGTTGCCTTTCCACTGTACCTGAGTTGCCAGCTTGTTGCTGTCCTTCCTGTTGTTCAGGACTGGTGGGAGAGCAATAGACATAAGAGCAAGTCATGCATTGTGAACGGGCGGGGAGGTACATTATATGCTGAGCTACAGTGCCTCCACCTTAAAGATGAGGAGAGGTCTTAAAAATACAACTGTTGCCTTTTTACTTTCCTGGTTCTGCCATGGGGAAGGGAAACAGAATCCACTAAAACATGGAAGGAGGAAATGGGAAAGGGGACACAAGGCCTCTAAAAAGTATCTTCTTCTGCCCTTTCACAGCATGTTGAATACATTCGCATTGACGGCTCCACACCTTCAGCTGAGCGGCAGTCTCTGTGCCAGAAGTTCCAGTTCTCAGAGAAGCAGGTTGTGGCTGTCCTGTCCCTCACTGCCGCAAACATGGGCCTGACATTGTCTGCTGCGGACCTGGTGGTGTTTGCAGAGCTCTTCTGGAATCCGGGGGTATGCATCCTGGAGGGGACAAGGGTTGGATGCTCCCTGGAGAGCAGAAACATTGGCGCTTGGGAGGAGATGTAATGGGCAGGAGACTTTCTGTAGGGTTTTTCTCTTTCTTTCTCTGATGGCTACTTGTGCACCCCCAGGTGCCTGCGCTTGAACCAGTGAGGCTGGTTACACAGCTTGCTGGCTGGAGATGATGATGTGAAAGGGAAACATGCTCCTGTTTCTTAACTTGACAGAGCTCTCAACAACTTACCCAGCCAGGACCTGAAAGGGACCATCATCAGTGCTGACCCTCTACTTTGGAAAAATGCTCAGTGTTATTTGGGAACCCCGTGCACCAGATTACTTCTGGGCTTAGTCTGTGTTTGAGGATGCAGGTGTTAACAGGATCCAGATGAGAAATAGTAGCTAAGCACAAGAAAGGAGATGGCCCTGTTCTCTGGTGCTTATGCTATTTCTTAGATGTTGCAGCTCTCTCACTTTGTTTTCTTTGTCATGTTTTTACATAAAGATTTTGATCCAGGCAGAAGATCGGGCACATCGAATTGGACAGACCAGCTCCGTTAATGTTCACTACCTAGTGGCTAAAGGCACAGCAGATGACTACTTATGGTAGGAAGTGAGAAAGACATTTTGGTTTTCCTGCCACCTGTTTTCACTGTTTGTCACATATGTGATGTAAGGTGCTTAATCTTAGTGCTGATTTCCACAGCCTGTGAGGGGAGGAGCAGTAACTGCCAATCAGGGCTGCTGTGAGCTGGTGACATGGCCTGGCCACAGTGGACATAACTAAGTGGATGACAAGCAGGAGGAATAAAAGTAGTTATCTGACAAAGAAAGGGCTGTTGAGAGAAATTCTGGTAGAGCTGATGCATCTGAAAACTTCACAGCCTCTGTATAAGGAGAAGGAATTGTATTAGACAGAGCCCAGAGCATTCGTGTTCTGGGCTACTGTAAAGTGCTGAGTACTATCAAGCAAAGTCAACAGACGCTGGAGATGGTTCAATGTATTGTGGATCAGGTCTGAGGAGCAATCTGGCTGCTGCGTGCTTGGACAGGGAGCTGTGGAGGACAACTGCACTGTTGCTTTCCTCTTGCTCTTCAGTGAGCCCTTCAGATGGATTAAAGAAGTGCTACTGACCCACCTCTGGAGGGTTGTGGTCTGAGCATTTTTGGCTGCCATGAGAGCTATCAGTGGACGCTGGTCCTTAGGGCTGGGGAATCTGACATCCTGGGGAAGGGGAGGATCTGAGGAATCCTCAGTGCTGCAAGGGAACTGACCTGCAAACGATGAAAAGAAATTATCCACCAGCTGGTTCATTTAAAGTCCAAAATTACATCTTTATTACCTTGTTTAAAGGAATGAATGAACTAAGTGAACTTCTTGTGCAGTTCCCAGAATATCATGATGGCAAATAATTATAACCCTGCAATGCAGGGATCTGGAAACTGATGCATTGCCCACGTTTCATGGCAAGTTAATGACAGTAATTCTGCCTTTATTTGTGGAATGCTGTCCATGCAGCCATTAATGCTTAATGGGAAGGAAATATGGCTCTTCAAAGAAGGACAGTGCCATCCTTTTTAAAGGTGAGAAAAAGAACAAGAAGATAGGGCTATTTGGTAAATGCATTAATTGTGCTGTGGCCTTTGCTTCTTTTAAAGTGTCTAGTCTGCAGGTGCGGTTGGGACCTCTCGGCCTCTTGGGCCAGTGATGAATTCTTCCTCCTGCAGTACACTGGGAGATACCCTAGAAATGCTGATGTGTCTGTTGGTGGGGATTACCGTTGCTTGCCTTGGAGACTGAACACACAGGCTATTGGGACTCCCTTTAGCTGCATCTTCTTGTTCTGACTTTGTACCATTGGTGTTGCCTCAGTCAACTAGCTTACCTATTGGATATGTGCATTCTTCAAATATTTATAGCCTGAAATCCTCTTTTTGTTACTTATTTAAATTGGATTGATTGATATCCCAAGACAGCATACAGTCATCATAAAAAAGAGCAGGACAGGTTAAGGAACTAACAAGCTTTGGTAGAAAAGCCATCTTTATACCCCTGGTTTTTTTTTTTGTTTTTTTTTTTTCATCTACACATAGTAAATGACACAGTGGCCTTGCAAGATATTTTCTTCCTTTCAGTAATATCTGTTTATCTCTCCTAGGCCAATGATTCAAGAGAAAATCAAAGTGCTGGGGGAAGCTGGTCTTTCAGAAACCAATTTCTCCGAAACAGCTGAATCCACTAATTACTGCCCTAAGGTAATGGACCTGAAAGAATATCCATGATCCCTGGGAGAGGCTGAATGGGCTTTAGCTTGTGTACATGTAGATTGGCAGGTGATTGGCAGGCTGACCTTACACCTGTTCTGCCTTTAATGCCACAGACCAGATTCTCCTATTCCTCCCAGGATCCATGCCTTGACTCGGAGTCTCCACAGAGAGTTCCCAAACCTGCTGCATGCAAGGAGACATGATAGCCTCTGTAGCATATATATGTCTCTGAGATAGATGTATATGTGTGTATATATATGTATGTATGATATATATATATCACATGAGATATACACACGTGCACTGTCTCGGGGGAGTGCCCTCTGGTTGTTGCTTACTTTGTTTTTATATGACAAGGTGTATGCAGATTCTGTCTGTTCTAATTTCTCAGCCAGATCCAAAGCAGAAGACCATCTATGACCTTTTCCAGAGGACCTTCTCTGAGAGCAAAGATGACACTGATGAAGTTTTGCTTTTGGAGGCAGCTGATGCTTGTTGTGAGTTTGACTCTGGCAGTGCCTTGCACGGTACAGAAGGAGAGACATGTTCAGTGAGTCCTCCCAAAAAGCGGCGTATTGAGGAGTTTTAAAAAGTGTAATGGTGACAGCAAAAGAGAATGTGGCTGAGATTTTTTTTTTTAATTAAAAAAGAGAAAACAAAAGCAATCAAGTATTATTTTTCGAGTTTTCAAAAATAAGACTTTAAGTTTTCTGTATCTCTAGTGCATTTCATCTCGAAGGATGAGAAGGCAAACTGACAGCATGATAGATGAGCAGCACACACCTGGCAGCCTGCACATTTTGCAGTCCTGGTTTTGCTGGTGACTGAGTGGCCATGGGCAAGTAGCATGCTGCTTTGTTTCAGCATGTCAGCTTCCACAGCTGTTTTGTTTAAAAAGCAGATAATGATTGTCTGTCCACAAGGCAGAACTGTTGTGAACACTAACTTCTCAGCAGCTGCAGAGTGTTTTTAACAATCAGTCTTCCATCTCCAAGAATTTTAGTCTGTATTTATAGGAGTCAGTTCACTGGCAAAATTTGACCCTTACTTGGGTCACTCACAAACTGGCTCTCTGGTATTCAGTTTGGCAGTGAGGAGAAAAGATCCAGACAGATCTTGATGTTTTGTGGAGGTGGGGGGGAGGAGGGAGAGCCTCAGATTTTTGTCTGTGCAGAGCAGTCAGTACCTTGAAACTAAGTAGTATTAACTGTCTGCCAGGAGGTGTGTATTGCCTATTAGGCACATGTCTGCCTGAGTACACTGATCTCTGGCCTCATCTGCTAAATCTTAGGATCTGCTCCATGGCATGTGCTTCTTGTCTCAGTGGAGGGTGAAGCTTGTGCTGACTGCTAGGGATTAAGCCTGGCTGTTGAGGAAGGGTGTGTGTGTGTGTGTTTTCTTCAAGACTTGAGACAGGTGAGTAAGGAGAGGGGGACACGTGGACTTTTGTTCTCTTTTTGTAAGAAACTGATTCTGGACTGAGCTGTTTAAATAAAAAGTTGCTTTAAGTTGTGGTTCGCAAGCTTTTGGTACTTTTTCTGTTTTAGAATTTCAACTCCCTTTGGACCTGAAGCTTGAGAAATACGTGATGCAGTGGAAATATCAGCGTTTTTTAAAAATATTTACAATGGCTGCAAGATAGGTCTTTTTGGGGACACTTCCTTTTGTGCTTTCTAAAATGCATCAACTTTCAAAAGGGAAACTCCCATGGTACTTTGCTTATAGATGAATCAACAACTACTTCCATAAGACATTTAGGCTGGTACCCTAGGACCTGTTATTTGCTCCCATTACAGCTCTGGGCAGGTTACACTGAGAATGCCAAAAGCAGCACTGTTGCTTGATGCAGTGATTAAAATGCCTGTTTTCAATTTGTGATAGTCTCTATCATCCTCTCAGCCCTGTGAACAGGGAGACCTGAAATCCCAGCTTCGGTGCTGCCTGAGCAAAACCACTCTTTGATTCCTTTCAGGAGCTTGTGTCACATTCTCTGACCCTTGGGCATGGCGTGATTCCACTTTATGGCGGTGATGCCTCTGCAAAAACTCTAGAGGCCGCTTTTGATGTGGGCTTGATGGCTGTTTATCAAAACTGATCTTATCAGGCATCTCTGGCTGTTTTTCATATTTTTGTGTATTATTGTCAGTGTGGCGTAGCGTGATCCCAAATGAATGTCTTTCGTGCTCCCGGTCTTAGTGCTAGAAGATACTTGGAAATGGGGTAGCGTTAAGCAAATGTGACCAGGGACTACAGGAGAAGATATAATTTCACAGAGGTACCAGTTAGCTATGTTTTACAGCCATAATATGTAGAGAAGGGTGGGGGAAAAGGAAACTCAAGGTTTACTTTTAGCTTCTGGAGGCCAGGAGCTAACATGCTGTGCAGGCGGCATGCTTGGCTGTGTGCAGATACCGGACACTGACAAAAAGCCCTCTCTTCCACAGTTGAGGACAAAAATGTTTGTGCTAGAAGAACAGCCTGATAATAACAGATATTTTTTTCCTGCATCGAAGGGTTTGATTATCCCATTTTCAGCAGGTGTCATCATGGAGATGCCCTACAGGCTGCGTATGCAATTGTGCTGGGTAGAGACTTGCTTTTCATTCATGACTGCGGAAGGTGCTTTGGTGTGTGTGCAAGTGAAGAGGAGTAGGACCAAGGATCGTGTGACCAGCCAACTGGAGGAAACGCTTTATCTCTGGATTTGAAACGGAGAGCTAAACGTCATTTCTCTTGCTCCAGCAGCTGGCCAGGAGATAAATACACACTTTTCAACATTTTAAAATGTCTTTCTTCGTGAACACTGAGCATTTAATCTGTTTCTAGGACACGTGATCTTTCTACTTGCAGAGAGGGTTGTTCTGATGAGTAAGGGGTGAGAAATGTTGCTGTCTGCCTACTGAAAAAAAAATATGGAAGACGTATACCCATATTGGCATCTCCTATAGGAGTAATTCTCTTCCTCCTTGTAAACCTACAGCTACTTCAAAATAGTAGTTTTCTGAAATCTGCTGAAAAGTACCCTTGGAGAATTCTGCTTCTCATAAACTCAATTTATCTTATCCATATATTGATAAATCCCAGCCCTGTTAGAGGAATGCTAGGTGTACTCTTTTGTTGTTGGGGCCCATAAAATCTCAGGTGGTTTGCTGCAGAGTTCCAAAGGCTCTTCGAGTACACTTGAGATTCACTTTATCCTTACTAGATTAAAAAAGGGGAGAAGAATCTTGCAGGAAAGTGCTTTTAGTCATTACCTCAAGGGATTGGAAAGACTGTGCAGGCCTTAGCCCAATTACACTATTAGTCTGTCATTAATATGATGAGGAGGTGGTTGGGAATCTGCCAGCAGGCTCAGACAGGATCTCCAAGGCTTGCTGATGAGAATTTGTACAAGGTAGTGTGCAGGTTGCCAGTGAGACCCACGGGCAGGCTCAGGAGCATGCAGTGCTCTTGGGGTCTCTTACACCTGCCCATCGAAGATGGTGTAACTAACTTTTTGGCATTATCTAAAGCCCAATAGAGTAAAGGGAAGCACCCATTTTATTGGGTCTTGGAGCATCTTACTGTGACTGGTTACCTGCTTGTACACCTGTGTCTGCTCTCACCCATGTTATGGCAGGGCATGTTTAGAGGAAGGATGCCAAACCAGGAACAGATAAAAATACCTGAACAACAAAATGGAGCAGTTCAAACTACATCTTCAGTACATGAAGCTGGCCAGCCTGCGGCATGCAGAAGAGTTCAAGGTGGTGGGCTGTCGAGGCAAGGCTTTTGGAGCTGTGCTGGCCTGTCTGCATCTGTCTTCTCAGTTACTTGGAAACGTACATTTATTTTGGCAGTGCTGGAAAATGGCTGTCATCTGAGGGGATTGGGTTTGGTTGTTGGCAGAGCTGTCTGTAATACTGGTAGATGAAGGGTATGACCAGGCGCTGTGCTGTCACAGCGAACTAACTCTGTAGATACAGACTGGAGAATAGCAGTAGATCCTCTGTCCTGGATGTGTTGGCTGACTTTTTTTTTTTTTAACCAAATAGTCACAAAGCAGCCAAAGGAACTTTTTGTTTTCTTCTTTATTTTTTTCTTTTAATACGTTGGTATCAAAGATGTATCCTGTGAGTCATCGTTATGATGAGGATCTGAAAAGGGCAAATATATTCCTAGGATATATCAAATGAGATTTTGACTCAGCAGAGGGAGATTTAAATACCGTTGCCTAAAGCCCTGCTGAGCCCTCATCTGGAACAGGGCTCTGGCCCACCGGCTCCCGGGAGGACCTGCTCAGACAGGAGCAGAGCTTGCAGGGATGATCAGGGAACAGGGAGCCTGGCACGACAGAGGGAATTGAAAATGTGAGTGTTCAAACCCTCAAAGCAAGAGCCAAGAGGGGATGCGGCGTTTTCCATGAGCATCCCTGAAAGTACGGGCCCCAGCCGGGGAAAGGCTTACATAGTGGCAGGGTATGCTCTAGTCGTTAATTCCCTATTAATTAAACAGACTGCAAATGATGAGGAGGGCTGTCACAGGTCGAGGCAGCTGGGGTGGGTACGGGGCTGTCATGGGAGGAAAAGCACCTGCAAAAAGTACCCGGGAATGGTTTCTCCAGGTGGGCTGGGCATCCCCGGCTCCCTCCTGGCGGGAGGGGAGGGCTGCAGCTGGTTCTGCGCATCAAAAAGCTCTCGGGCTAACCGGATTACATTTCTTAATGGAGGTTAATGGGTTGTTAATCCTGTTACGAGCATTGCAGCTCAGCGGCACACGTTTCGCTCGCCTGTGCCGGGTCCAAGCGGTGCAGGAGCCCTCCTGGGTCCCAGCCTCGTGCTTTGGTGCCGGTGATGGAGGCGGCTCGGGTGCCCCGGGCGTCCGGGGGCACTGTCTGGGTGCCAGGCGTCCACCTCCACGGGGGCACACGGAGGCTTTTAGGGCTGGTTGTCTCAATACTGGATGACCCTTACGAAATTGGGTAGATGCCGTGGTTGCACCTCATCGGGATATCTTGAAACCTCTGGGTTTAAGGCTGGTAGGTTTTAAGATTAGAATTCATCCTCATTGATCGATATTTGTTTATGTATGTATTTATTTATTTATTTATTTTTACCCCTTTGGCAGCTCCAGTCTGGTTTGCTGTTCCTTTTTTAAGTCTGACATCTACCTACTACTTATTCTCTTTATAAACGAGGTGAGTGAACGTAACTGCTCCACCTCCTTTCCTGCTGTGACCTCCTTGGGTGGAAATCCAGGAATCTGAGCTCTCGCGCTGCATCTCCCGTCCGGCGCTGCTGGGGCTGACGTACCGCTTGGGTTTCGCACTGATACACGGTGTTTTCTGAGCGATGCATCCCCCAACATCACGCCGCAAGTGCGTTGCGGTTTGTGTGCTTTAGGTAACCCTATTGTCATGGGATAAACGTACGGACTGTGCAACGCGACCATAGAGCTACGCACCACCACGGTGCAGACAGACCCACTCCGAGTCCCATCCTCTCCGCTCTCTGTCGCCTTGCTCCCTCACTTCCGGCCGCGACGGCTCATACTGCGTCTGCGCAGGGGGGGTTTCTCTTTCAGCGTCGGC